GGTCACGATGAAGGAGAAATGTTCTTGTAATCAAGAAAGTGAGAGAGGATATAGCATATGCTGATTTCTTACGGGCGCGGACATACAAGTCGCGCAAGCTAGTGCAAAAGTAGCCACATGGGCGTGAAGCTTTCTTCCATATCTAGTGAGTATAACTAGAGGAAGAGTCATGCTCATGTTGATATAGAGACATATAAGACCTTTGATCGATCGAAGGGTGGAGGATTGAGTTATGCCACATTAAGACATGTTTTGGGCCATGAAGCCCATAGTGTGATGAATTGATTGATGGTGACCCTCAATTCCAAAATTAGTAGCAAAGTTGATCCCAAATATGCATGAATGGCGAAAGATAATTTTGATACCAAATCTACTGTAGTGCACTTTGTAAGGTTAATTGGCAAATCTTAAAAAATGTTAGACAATTAAACAATGTGGAGATAGAGTGAACATTATTTTATAAGTAATTTATGTGTAAAGATATGCTAAATAATATTGAAGTCAAAATTAAAATTCATTAAAAACTAATTTTATGGTGATACCAAATTATCATTAATCTAACAAAGGAGAAATCAAATATAGCCACCTCTCATTTTTTATGTTAAAATTATCTAGAAAATTTTTAAATTTAGGGTTTGGACTTTAATTGTTTTGAATTTTTCCTAAGTTAGATTGGCTCTCAATGTGCAGGGAAAGAATTCTGATTTGTTTTCAGTTAAATTGGCAAAACAATTAATACGAACTTGCAAGATCTTATATTATCATTCCAAATTAGCTCATTTTGGCATTTGGTGAAATTTGTTCGAGATGCAGACTTTTCATTGGCCCATATTGTCTTACTTCCAAATTCTTCATATAAGGACTCAAAGATGAGGCCCAATTCATAAAGTTTAATATGCCTAAAGCCCATAATCATTCATGGACTTTTGTGGAGTTCGAGAGTTCCGTATAGCAGGTGTTTTTTTTTTTTAATTTATTTATTTATTTAACTTTAGAGCCGATTATAATAAACTTGCACTCAGACCAAAAGCTTAAATTTTAGATTCAAGATCTTTTAGTTAATAGTCAAAATTTTCAATCAATCTTAATTGATAAATTTTAATATTATATCTCAATTACTAAACAAATTAAAATTTTGATGTTGACTCAAGTCAAATTTATTAAAATTTTAATTTTATTTTAAATTATGAATCAAAATTATTACTAGTAGTATATACATATATCTTAAAAGATTGAAAGTTGGTCAAAGTTTTTACTAACAAGACTAGCAAGTTATGCTTCTCTCAAATCCAATTAGTTAGACTTATCTTACATAGAAATAAGTCATAAACAAAGTTAGGGAAATGTAGAATTGCGATCTAATTAACTAGCATGAGATCATATCATTCAGAGCACTTTGTGTGGAAGGTAAAAAGCAGGGCAAAGATCCCTTTGCTCTGATGAGTGTAGATGGATTAATTCTGCTCTCCTTCCTGCCTCTTTCGCTGCTTTGATCTTTCTCGTGCACCAATGCATCCACTAGAGAGAATCAATAAAAGAGTCTCTTACAAAGAAGGGCTGAGATGGTTAGCATGGAAAAAGAGAAGTTGTAGGCCTCAGCCTTCTGTTCTTTTCTTCTGTTTATTTCATTTTTTTTCTTCTTTCTTTCTTTTCTACGCACTGTTCCAGCTGAAAGAAAGTAACAACACATGACACCTTAGCTTGCTCCTGCTTGTTTGTTTCATGCAGTACATCCTTGCCAAGTGTGATGTGTTTTTCAACCTTTACATGGCATATCAAAAGGTTTACATAGATTGTGATTAATTTCATGTTTCTTTGTGGCCTTCTTTGGCTAATTAGTATTTTTTTATGGAGTCATTTGACTCAGCTTTAACTTCTTATAAGGGAGATGCGATTCAAAATTAAGGCTTCATATGGACTCTACTTGCTTACTATTTCTTAAAGCAGCTTTGTAGTAGAAAACAATTAATTTTTGTAGTAGAAAGCTGCTTTAAGAATCAATAAGAAAGCCGTCCCAAACGAAGCCTAAAAAAAATAATCCAAAATTATATATATGGAAAACACAAAATTGTGTGTGTGAGGAGGTAACCTAAGACTAGTCATTCGTTTTCCTTGCACGATTTGGCAGAAGCTAATGGGACCCTTCATGCAAGCTCTGAGCTTCTTGTTAAGAAGATAATTAGCAAGGAAAGGCTTGTGTGGCTCAGCTTTAATGCACCAGGATAAACTTTGCAGACATGTCTGTACCTAACTACTATTATATATTCAGTTGGTTTCATCAGAAATTTCATCAACTCAAGATTATCATTTTTTTATTTAATTTTTATATTATCCTGCAGAAGCTAACAACTAACAATATTATACGAAGATACTACAGGCAAGGGCTCAAGCATCTTTGATATACAAGGTATATATCGATCTCTGATTCAAGATCCAATTAACCGACATGATTTGAAGGAATCCTCTTACTTCTTCTGTGAATTTTAAATTTATAACAGATCTTATAATCACATGCATTTATCTTAAATAAAATGAATTCAAAAGATTTTTATCTTGAGGAAAAAAATAATGGCAGGAAGGTGAGGGCAATCATTTTGGTTAGACACCAGCTCGTATTTTATATGCACTAATCACTATATCCATATGATGATAGGTGGTGTGGTTCCTGTTCAAGCATCATGCAGCGTGAGTTGTAAAGCTTCTGGTTCCATCCATATTTCTTTTACTTTGTATAAAAATTTGGCCAAAAAGATATATATATAAAGAAAGAAGGCAAAATACAAATAAAATAGGGCTTAGCAA